TTCTGAGCACAACACTTTTTCTCCTTGCTATTAATGATTTGGCCTCTAGTCTTCCATCACATATTTGGTCATCACTATGTTGATGACTTCGCTATTGCCTGTGCAGGCGCTGACTGTCACCTCATTACAGTTTCTCTCCAGCATGCAGTCGACCGTGTTTCCAATTGGGCCACCACACTTGGGTTTAAATTTTGCAGCACTAAAACCCACCAAATTACTTTCACTAGACGCACTGTCATCTCCGATCATCCTTTGTACCTCTATGGCTCACGTATCCCTGAACGTGATACAGTCAAGTTTCTGGGCCTCCTCTTTGATCGTAGGTTATCCAGGAAACCTCACATTACCTCTCTCTGAAGGCAACTTGTCACAGCTGGCTGAACCTTCTTAAAACCCTTGCTCATCTTTCATGGGGAGCTGATCGTCGAACCCTCCTTCGCCTACATTCCACCCTCATTTTATCGAAACTTGATTATGATGACCAGATCTATTCAGCGGCATCTCCTGCTACTCTCTCTAGCCTTAACCCCATTCATCACCAAGGATTACGTTTATGCCTTGGTGCTTTTCGCTCTTCCCCTGTCGAGAGCCTCTATGCAGAAGCGAACGTTCCATCCTTATCCGATCGCCGTGATGCCCATTGCCTTCGCTACTATGTACGCTCTCATGATCTCCGCAATCCTTCCATTTATAGAATGGTCACTGATATTAGTAGATGTTCTTTATTTGTTCGCCACCCGTTTACTCCGTCCCTTCTCTCTTCGCCTTCATTCGCTCTTGTCTTCTCTTCAATTACCACCTTTCTATGTTCCTGTAGCATCTCACTTTTCCCTACCCCCCTGGGAAGTTCCAGCTGTTCGAGTCTGTTCTTTCTCTCTCCCTTGCTCGAAAGCCCAACTGTCTACGGTCGCTTCCCGCTCTCTTTTTCTTGACCACTTTCACTCTCATTCTCATGCCATTGCTGTGTACACGATGGCTCTAAGTCTTCTGACGGCGTAGGATTCGCAGCAGTGTTTCCGGACAGCGTTGTACGAGGGCATTTACTATCTTCGGCTAGTATTTTTACTGCTGAATTGTATGCCATCCTTGCAGCACTTATCCGTATTGCATCTATGCCTGTGTCATCATTTGTGGTCGTCTCAGACTCCCTTAGTGCTTTACAGGCTATACAGAAATTTGATACACCTCAGCCCTTAGTCCTCCGTATCCAACTTTGGCTACGCCGCATCTTTACCAAGCATAAAGATATTGTTTTTTGTTGGGTCCCTGGTCATGTTGACATACAGGGCAATGAACATGCAGACACTGCTGCGCAGTCAGCAGTACATGACCTACCAATTTCATATAGAGGTATTCCATTTACGGACTATTTTGCTACAGTATCTTCCCACCTTCACACCCGTTGGTCTACTATGCTCAGCAACAAACTTCAATCTACTAAACCAAGTATAGGTTACTGGCCGTCTTCTTATCACCAGTGTCGAGGTTGGGAGACTACTCTCTCCCGTCTTCGCATTAGCCATACTCGTCTTACTCATGGATATCTCATGGAGAGGCGTCCTGCTCCTCTCTCTGAGAATTCCCAAGCTCCATTATCAGTCAGCCACATTCTGTTGGACTGCCCACTTTATCAACGAGCATGCAGAATTTACCTCCGTCGTCGTCTTCGCTCCGCTGCTCTCTCTTTACCTTCCCTTCTCGCTGATGGACCCACCTTTCATCCGGACTCTCTCATTGACTTTTTGACAACAACTGACTTACTTCACAAATTCTAATACCTTCAGCCCTTTCTACCTCAATCTTGCTATCCTCTACCCCAGTACTATCCCCTGCCCTGCTGTTTTCTGTAACCTACTGATCATCCCTCCTCCCTTCTTCCATCCAATACCCTCACTTCCTTCCCTACCCTGCAGCGCTGTATAGCCCTTGTGGCTTAGCGCTTCTTTTTGATTATAATAATAATAATCATTTGCTCTAAAAATGGTGTGTTGCATGAGAATGGGAGTGTTGCTGTTATTTATTCTACTGCACCAATATGAAGACAATTTGTACACAATGTAAGGTGTTTGTATTTTGGGGAAAAAAAGCTTCACAAACACATGCATTATGTGAAATAAATGCATATAAACTGCATTTGTCTGACCACCCACCACCCGTTCACTCAGTTTGTCTACGTCTCTGTCTCTCTCGTTTACGATGGCATCTAAAGATTTTTTTTTTTTTCAAACAAGTCAGCCGTCTCCCACCGAGGCAGGGTGACCCAAAAAAGAAAGAAAATCCCCAAAAAGAAAATGTTTTCATCATCATTCAACACTTTCACCTCACTCACACATAATCACTGTTTTTGCAGAGGTGCTCAGAATACAACAGTTTACAAGCATATACGTATAAAGATACACATCATATCCCTCCAAACTGCCAATATCCCAAACCCCTCCTTTAAAGTGCAGGCATTGTACTTCCCATTTCCAGGACTCAAGTCCGACTATATGAAAATAACCGGTTTCCCTGAACCCCTTCACTAAATATTACCCTGCTCACACTCCAACAGATCGTCAGGTCTCAAGTACCATTCGTCTCCATTCACTTCTATCTAACACGCTCACGCACGCTTGCTGGAAGTCCAAGCCCCTTGCCCACAAAACCTCCTTTACCCCCTCTTTCCAACCCTTTCGAGGACGACCCCTACCTCGCCTTCCTTCCCCTATAGATTTATATGCTTTCCATGTCATTCTACTTTGATCCATTCTCTCTAAATGACCAAACCACCTCAACCACCCCTCTTCTGCCCTCTGACTAATACTTTTATTAACTCCACACCTTTTCCTAATTTCCACACTCCGAATTTTCTGCATAATATTTACACCACACATTGCCCTTAGACAGGACATCTCCACTGCCTCCAACCGTCTCCTCGCTGCTGCATTTACCACCCAAGCTTCACACCTATATAAGAGTGTTGGTACTACTATACTTTCATACATTCCCTTCTTTGCCTCCATAGATAATGTTTTTTGACTCCACATATACCTCAATGCACCACTCACCTTTTTTCCCTCATCAATTCTATGATTAACCTCATCCTTCATAAATCCATCCACCTACACGTCAACTCCCAAGTATCTTACTTTAAATGCCAAGTTAGAAATAATTAAACTCAGTGAGCAAGGTATGTTGATGGCAGTAAGCATAATAATGATCACTGGGGTGCTTTGTTTTTTCAAAATTATATAAGAAATATGCTACATATACAAAGGAAATGTATAAATAGTAAAAGAAACATAATTGTGAGGTAAGATAGCCAGGTGGGCTACCACACCTGACTTCCTACAATGAATACTACTCACCTCTCACCCTACATTAAGTCTACAAATATTTTCAAGTAATGAGTGTACTGTATGTGCATTTGACCTTTTTTTTATGCCTAGTTCTGTTGCTAACTTAATATATGAGTGTCAACATATCAAGCATTTAAGTGCATTTAAAAGCGAGAGAGAGAGAGAGAGAAAAAGGGGGGTGGGGGTTTCACTTTACAGCAGTAGCCTGGAACCTAACCTGCTGTACAAGTGGGGCCTTCTTGTACACTATATGAAAAAAGTCATTAAGGTATATGTTGAATTATATTAGCTGTTCTTGTAGGCACAAGTAATATAACTGATACCTGATTTAACTAAAACATAATTGTATGCATGGGATGATACCAAAATTTTTGCAGGTGTGGAGTTAATTAAAGTATTAGTCAGAAGGCTGAAGTGGGGTTCCTGAGGTGGTTTGGTCATTTAGAGAGATTGTATCAAAGTAGAATGACTTGGAGCATATACATCTGTAGGGAAAGGAAGGCAGGGTAGGGGTCATCCTCGAAAAGGTTGGAGGGAGGGGGTAAAGGTGGTTTTGTGGGCGAGGGGCTTCTACTTCCAGCAAGCGTGCGTGAGCGTGTTAGATAGGAGTGAATGGAGACGAATGGTTTTTGGGACATGACAAGCTGTTGGAGTGTGAGCAGGGTAATATTTAGTGAAGGGATTCAGGGAAACCAGTTATTTTATATAGCCAGACTTGAGTACTGGAAATGGGAGTACAGTGCCTGCACTTTAAAGGAGGGGTTTGGGATACCGACAGTTTGGAAGGACGTGTTATATATCTTTATATATGCTTCTAAAATGTTGTATCTGGGCACCTCTGCAAAGACGGTGATTATGCACGAGTGAGGTGAAAGTGCTGAATGGTGATGAAATTTTTTTTTTTTTTTTTTTTTTTGTTACCCTGCCTCGGTGGGAGATGCCCGACTTGTTGAAAAAAAAATTAAATTTTAATGACAAGAATATGCTTATTGCACAATGGGTATTAAATAACAAGTAAGTTAAATATTAAATAATTTCACTGATATGACAATGTCATTACTTGGCCTGCTATGTTAGTTACTAGTTGTCATAGGCCCTTGTTGATAATTTTGTGTATGGATAACCCCTACGGTTATGAGGTAGTGTTAATATTGATATATTTAAGCACACTTGTAATATTTTAGCAAGTACAACCTCTCCTCACTTAGTGATGTACTTGTTTACCAATGACTCGAACTTACGACGGGTTCTTTGACCAGTATTCATACCTAAATAATGTATGGTAGAGCTGATTTCCTCTTCTGTTCATTACAGTATGTCATACACTACTATATAAACATTTAAAAATATACCAGAAATGCTATAAATGGTGCAAAGGTGACATTAAAACAATGTCAAAGATGGTTGACAGACCCACTACCATTATAGCATTCTCCTCACTTCCCAACGCATTCGTTTACTGACAAGGTCTTAGGAATGGAACTCAAGTCATTAAGTGAGGAGAGGCTGTATTGGTTTTTTCACCAATACCAATACTTTGGCACATCCCTACATAATTGTATTTACTTTTTTTTTCCATCTTTGAAAAATGCTAAACCTGCAAAAATTATTAGTGCATTTCTGACAAATATCAGCATATCAATTTCTCCCTCTCTTTCACAGGTTGTGTAGAAAAAGCATCTTACATAACTCCAGTTCCAGGTGGTGTTGGTCCAATGACTGTGGCAATGTTGATGTGCAACACAGTTTCAGCTGCTAAGAACAATGCTGTTGATATCAGGCTTAGCAAAGATTAGCTTTCATTTGCACTTGTTGCAGTATTAAGTGCTAAGCCTGTATGAGGCGTACAGCTAAGTGGGTTTTGCAATTTTTTAAGGTGGTATGTATCTGTGGCAAAGTGTTAAACAGGGAGTGTAGTGCCTGGGAAATGGGATTACTCAAGGAAAGTTTCTTAATGCTGGTAAGGGGTTCTTGATCCAAGGAATAGGACCTGTCCCACCCTTCCTAATTGTCTCCCAGGTGCTATATGACCCACAGAGGGATGACTAAGGGAACTAATGCGCCAGACAAGCTAACAAGAAAAGCTAAAGATAGGAGTTTTGGAAAGGAGCCAGTAATGTAATAATACTCAGGTGCTGGAGTGTGATCATAATTAATCCAAGAAGCTCTGATAACTGGGAGAATGAAATTAAAAGGTGTTGGACTATTTGTGGCACTTGATATGTTCATTTGTGACAACTGAAAACTACTTATCCTGTAACCCCCTACCAATGTTGCCATTAACCCCAAAAACTATTCCAGTTTTGTCCAAGTCAGAATAGGGTAAATCTGGCAAGGAAATGGACAAATTTTGGACACCAGAATGTCCAGGAACCCAGTAAAATACTCTGCTGCAGAGGCAGCAGCCAGTGTTGAAAGACAGAAGACAGTGAAATGTAGAGAAAGCTGCAAATAGCTAACAGTTCATTTGGTACAAGACCATGAATGAAATAACAAGGAGCTGTTTCATGGGAAGCTGCCCCAAATACCTGCGATGGAGCCTATCATTGGTACACTATAGTGTATTCACTGGGGCAGTGCCATTTACAGTATATTGAAGCACTGAATCCAGCAGTCATGTTTGATCCAAGGGAAGGTTTTACTCTTTACTAGAGGCTTCACTGCCATGAAGCTCCTCTAGAAGGGCATGTGCTATCATAGTTGGCCTTCTGTATGTTTAGTGTACCGACTTACAGGTAATACATGTATATACCATTTCCCGTTGTAATTTAATAAAACTTTTGCACATACTTTTTATTTGTCATTGGAAATGCAAGAACAGTCAACTTCACCTTTTGTGGGGGAAGTGCTATACATTTAGGGGGTCTCGTGCCACTGAAGTTCAATCCAAGGGTTGAAACATTCCTTAAACTGTTGTGACCCCTTGGAAATGAAGTGGCAGAGCATAGGTAGGAAACCATGATCCTATTGGAAATTTTTAACTATGGTTAGAATGGAAAGCACAGAATACCAAGGTGGTGGTAATAGCTCATATGGATAGTAGTTTGGAAAAGAATTGGGCAATCTCTATGGTGGGTAGAGTAACATTTCCACAGTGGTGAGGGCAGGTGCAAGAAATGGTATAAAGGAAGAGTAAGTTTATGGGTTAGTATGTCTAGATCAGGTGTTACCAATCTGGGGGTGTGAGATTGCATTTCAGGGGGTTCAGTTGGGTTAAATTTGTTTATCCACAGCACTATTTTGTTAAATTGGAGATTTAAAAATTAGAATTTTACTTAACCTTCAAATGTGATTACTTTTGTCGAGGGGAAGTGGGGAGGGGGATAGGTGGCAACAAACATTTACTAGGGGGTGCAGGGCATAGAAAAGGTTGGGAACCCCTGGTGTAGATCTTTAAGAACATTGGTTTAAGAGATGGAAAGTAAACTGGTCTCTGCCAGACCAATTTACTCTTGCATGGTCTGTACAGTTCATTTTTTGAATGAGGTAAAAGTATTTCAGGGACAACGGAAGACTTGGGGGAAAAATGACAAAGGGAACATACAAAGACTAAGGGTTGGATACCGTAGAGCACATTATTATAATAAAAAAAAGCACTAAACCACAAGGGCTATACTGCGCTGCAGGGCAAGAAGGAAGTGGGGGTATCAGGTGGCAAAAGGGAGAAGGATAATTAGTAGGTTACGGAGAACAGTGGGGCAGTGGATAGTACAGGGGTAGAGGGTAGCAAGAGATTGAGGTTTAGAAAGGGCTGAGGGGAGTGTGAAAGGTATTGTCATCAGAGTTTGCGGAGTAAGTCAGTTGTTGTCAAGAAGTCAATGAGAGAGTCAGGATTAAAGGAGAGTCCATCAGCAAGAAGGGAAGGTAGAGAGTGTAGTAGAGCCGAGACAACGACTGAGGTAAATTCTGCGTGCTCATTGATAGAGAGGGCAGTCTAACAGAATGTGGCTAACCGATACTGGAACCTGATACGTCTCAGAGAGGAACAGGGTGCCCCATGAGTAAGACGAGTGTGGCCAATGCGAAGACAGGAGAGAGCAGTCTCTCAATCTCGACAGTGATGACAAGAAGATGGCCAGTAACCCATACTCGGTTTAATAGAATGAAGTTCGTTACCGAGTAAATTAGACCAACATTGTTGCCAACGGGTGTGAAGGTGGGTAGCTATTACAGCAAAATAGTCCGCAAATGGAACACCTCTATATGAAACTGATAGGTCATGTACTGCTGACCACGCACCAGTGTCTGCCTGTTCATTGCCCTGTACGTCAACATGACCAGGGACCCAACAAAAAACTATCTTTATGCTTGGTAGAGATACGGCATAGCCAAAGTTGGATAGGATACAGAGGACTAGGGGGTGAGGTGTATCAAATTTTCGTAGAGCCTGTAGAGCACTAAGGGAGTCTGAGACAACCACAAATGATGACACAGGCATAGATGCAATACGGATAAGTGCTGCAAGAATGGTATACAATTCAGCTGTAAAAATGCTAGCCGAGGATAATAAATGTCCTCGCATGACACTGTCCGGAAACACTGCTGTGAATCTGACGCCATCAGAAGACTTAAAGCCATCTGTGTACACTGTGATGGCATGAGAATGAGAGTGGAAGTGGTCAAGAAAAAGAGCGGGAAGCTACCATAGGCAGTTGGGCTTTCATGCAAGGGAGTGAGAAAGAACAGACTTGAACAGCTGGAACTTCCCAGGGGGGTCAGGGAAAAATGAGATGCTACATGAACAGAGAAAGGTGGTAACTGAAGGAAGACAAGAGCGAATGTAGTCGAAGAGAAGAGAGACTGAGCAAACAGGGGTGATGAACAAATAAAGAATGTCTACTAACATCGGTGACTATTCTATATATGGAAGGATTGGAGATCACGAGAGCGAACATAGTAGCGAAGGCAGTGGGCATCACGGCAGTTGGACAAGGATGGAACATTCGCTTCTGCATAGCAGCTCTCAACAGTGAAAAGTGCGAAGGCGCAAATGTAATCCCTGGTGATGGATGGGATTAAGGCTTGAGATAGTAGTAGTAGTAGAAGCCGCTGAATAGATCTGATCACCATCGAGTTTCGATAAAATGAGGGCTGAATGTAGGCGAAGGAGAGTTTGATGATCAGCTCCCCATGAAAGATGAGCAAAGGTTTTAAAAAGGTTCAGCCGGTTGTGAGAAGTTGCCTTCAGAGAGGTAATGTGAGGTTTCCAAGATAACCTACAGTCAAAGAGAAGGCCTAGAAACCTGACTATCACGTTCAGGGATACGCGAGCCATAGAGGTACAAAGGATGATCGGAGATGACAGAGCATCTAGTGAAAGTAATTTGGCGAGTTTTGGTACTGGAAAATTTAAACCCATGCGTGGTGGCCCAATTGGAAACACGGTTGACCGCATGCTGGAGAGAAACTGTAATGAGGTGACAGTCGGCGCCTGCACAAGCTATAGCAAAGTCATCAACAGAGTGATGACCAAATATTGGATGGAAGACTAAAAGCCAAATCATTTATAGCAAGGAGAAAAAGTGTTGTGCTCAGAACACATCCCTGGGGGACACTCAGCTTGGACAAAATCCGGGGAGAGCACATTATTAACCCGAACACGGAAATGTCCGTCAGTTAAAAAGTTTTAAAGGAAAGGATGGTAGATTGCCTCGGAGGCCTAAGGAGTGAGCTTGGGCCAAAATAATATACCTCCAAGTTGTATCAAATGCCTTCTCGAGGTCAAAAAATATGTCAATAACTGAGTGGTTATTCGCAAAGGCATTACGAACATACGTATCCAAGTGTAGTAAGGGGTGTATGGTAGAACGTCCCTTACGAAAGCCATATTGACGAGTGGAGAGACTGTCGTGTGTCTCTAAATACCACACTAAACGTCTATTTACCAGGCATTCTATCACTTTGCAAACTGCACTGGTAAGAGCAATGGGACGATAGTGGGAGGCTTCATGTCCCGTAGTGCCTGGTTTGCAGAAAGGGAGAACAATGGCAGATTTCCACAGCTGTGGAAGAACTTGTGACCAAATAAGATTGAAAAGGTGTAATAGGACTACAAGGGCTGACTGATGTGAATGTCGTCGGACCCAGCTGCAGATGATCGGCAAGCTGAGAGTGTTGCCTCCAGTTCTTGAAGTGTAAAGGCACATTATACTGTTCTTCTCAGAGAAGAAAAGTCCAAGGGTGCCAACACTCTGGCAGACTTTGAGGAAAGAAATGAGGGGCATAGATGGAGCCCGAGAAATACAGACCAGATGATTGGCAATTTCATTGGCAACATCTACTGGGTTTGCTATATCAACACCGGCAACCTGCAGAACAGGAGCCGGGTCAGGAGAATATTTACCACTCAGTTTTCGTACTTTTTTCCAGACTTCACTCAGGAAGCAGAGGTGATGGTGGAGACAATCTCGCCAGCAAGTGCGTTTAGCGTCACAGATCACGCGGCGAGCGATCGCACGCTTCTGCTTAAAATCAATAAGTCTCTCCGTGGTTCTATTGTACCGGTACGTGCCCCCATGCAGCGCGTTTCAAACGTACTGCACGAGCACAAGCAGGAGACCACCAAGGCACGCATTTCTGAGAATGCCTGCCCGAAGTTTGGGGTATAGAATGAGAAGCTGCAGTTAAAAAGGAGGACTAGAAGAGGTGCAAAAGCTCATCAATGGAGGACAAAGAAGGCACCTCACTAAAAACAGTTGTGGTAAGGGTTTCCCAATTTGCCTGTCAAATTGAAGTGTGGGAACAAAAGAGGTGGTAAATATGAAGGGGAAGTAAAATGTTGGGAAATGTCGCTGTCATGAAATCCGGGAGAACAGAAAAAGTGAAGTCTATGCGGGGGGAGGAAGGCAGACAGATCGATGCAAGGAAGCGAGAGCCCGGGATAAAAAATGGGTGCGAGTACCTGTTTTTAAAAATGGAGGGGGTGGGTGGCAAAAAAAAGCTCCAACTGAATGCCACGGGAATCACAGTGACCCCCCCCCCCCCCCCCCGAGGAAATGATGGGCATTAAAATTCCCAAAAGTAACAGAAGCGTGGTGGTAAGACGAAACGAGAAAGGCAATATCCTGAATAGATAATGAGAGATAAAAAGAACGGGCTTTTACCACCTATGCAAGGGGGATCGGGCTGCTGTGTAATGCAGCGAAGTATGAACAAATAGCTGATGGTATGGAATATCAGTGGTAGAAGGGCACTTTCATTAAAGGTCTCATCAGGAAAAGGATCTGAATACAATAAATTATAGCTGATTTTTTAATCAAAAGAAGCACTAACCACAAGGACTATACGATTATGGGGTTAAGGGGGATAGAAAACAGCAGTGTGAAAATTTTGGTTCCCTGTAACAAACACCAACAGGGGAAAACTGGGGAGAACATCTGAAGCTCGCCCGATTACCGACCGCGGTATTTTCCACTGTAAATGGCCATGATTGGAAATGTAAAGATACTAAATCCGCAGGCAAGGGTTCCTACGGGATGGAGGGGTTGAAAAGCCAATGCGGAGGCAGAGAAAACGGTCAAGTGCGAAGGAACGGTGCGCTGGAAAAAAGGGTTAAAACGAAGGGGATGGGGGAGGGAGGAGAGAGAAGTGGAGGAGAGATGGAAGGAAAACAGAGGTGGATCAGTGTCCATGATGGTTGGTCCTGAAATTAATTCAGAGATTGTTCAAGTGTTTCGGAATTCGGACGACGTATGGGGGGACAATTTGGAGATGGTAGGGGGAGGTGAGAAAGATAGGAACTGTAATGATTCCAAAGGTGGGGGGGGGGGAAAAGGGTGGAGGGAACTAAAGGGGGAAAGGGGGGACAGAAGAGGCGAACCGGGGAGGTGGCAGAAGGGGAAGAAATTTGGGAGGGAACAGGGAAGGAAAGTACGTCGAGGAGGGTGAACCTCTAAATTGTAATGACCCAGTGAGGGGAAGAACCAGGTACAGAGACGGGAAGGAAAATGAGGTGGAAAAAGGGAAGGGGGGGTTTTAAAGGATTTTTTTGACTTTGAGAGTCGAGGGACGATTGGGAGTTGGTGTCGTACGGGGAATCTCGCGATACCGAGGCTTTTGGGGGAGACATGAAGCGAAAAACAGACCGGGCGTTGAAGTAGGGAGTCTGAGCCCTGGACAGCAAGAATTAGTACGGGAGTGCTGTGGGAGAGGAAACCACAGAGGAGGCTGCAGAAGATGGGACCCCGAATGGGGGGAGTTTTGAAACACGGGAATAAGAAACATAGGTGTCTCCCTTGGAGGCGGAGATAAACTGCCATGGCAAAAAGGGAGACCTGCCTCTGAGGTAACTGTTTCCCCCATCATTTAAGTAGACTTGGCAAGGGCGAGGTACGAAGGGTAGCCATGCATTAAAGGCAAGAGGGAGGTCGTTGAAAGACGATTAGAATGGTCATCGGCACAACAACGGGGCATTCGGTTGGATCTGCAATATTCGCTGGATGGCCAAATCCCCAGCAATTTTACCTTTGGGGTTGTAGGATCGCCTTTCGAACTTGAAAACCGTTTCCCTGCTAAATGGGAGGGAGTTCCGGCTGTAAAAAATTTTAACGAGCCACATTGCTGGGGGTATGTCTCGCCCGGGGCAGGAAGAACTAAGGGTCTCCCTTTGAGGATGGGGTCTTGGAGTTCCAGTTTCGGAATGTCATGCCACATTTCTGGAAATTGTGAACTATGGTTGGGGCGAATGACTACCCCTAAAGAATTGAGGGAATGATGTTTTTTTGGGACAGGAACAGTACGTTGGGAAAGAAAGATCATGAGCTTGGCAGCAGTCTTTTTCGTGATGATGCGCATACCCCCTTTTAAAGGCATGAAAATATTTTTTACCAACATGGCGAGGGTGCCTTGCCAATACTGTGGTCGGAAAGATAGGCAGAGGAAGTCTGTCGTAAAGTAAAGAGTTTAGTCCTTTGTGCATTCTAAAACCAAGTGGGGAAGGGAGTGGGGAATGTCGATCTTTTTAAGAAGAGAGGTGAAGTATCAGCGGGTATTGTCTTTGGCGTTTAGGCATGGGACCGAGTTTGGCGACGTGGAACGGGCCGGCGATTCGAAAATTGCCGCAGTAGGGGAGAGGGGGAAAAACATAGTCAAAGGGAGGGAGGTCAAAAAAATCAAGGAGTCGCGAGTCAGTACCCGAAACGGGGAGGAAACTGCACCAGCAAGAGGTACAGAGGATGAGGGGTGTCTGAAAAGTGGTCCAAAGACGAGGCGGGGTCAGAAAAAGGGTGCGGTTCAAGAAGGGGCCCGGGGGTTTAGGTTTATGGACTGGGGCTGCCTGGGTTAGGTTTTTTTTTTGTTTAAGAAAAAAAAGGGGGGGGGGGGGGGCCCGGGGGGGAAGTTCCTAGGAGGAAAGAAAGGGCCAGAAAAACTCCTCGCCCCCAAGAGGACCTCAGCACCCCAGTAGCGAAAAATGAGCTGGAACCCGTGCCATACCCTACCCCTCTGCAGTAAACCAGCAATCCGGGATAGCAACCCCACATCTGCCGAGCTACCCCGGACAAAAAAAAAGGGCGGCCCGGGTATTGCCCAAAAACATACCCCCTTTGGCCACCCCGCCGAATCCCAATGGGGTTCCCGGATACACCGTCACCCGAGGGAACCCAAGCCCCCCTCCGGGGTACTGGGGGGTGGGACACCCCAGGTAAACCAGATTCCACGGCAAACTAGCCACCGCCCAAAAACCCAATGGAATGGGGTGGACCCCCGGACCCCTTTCCCTACCTAGGAACTAGCGTGCCCGTGGGAAAAAAAAACCCAAGGCCCCAAAAAGGGGAAAAAAAGGGGGGGGGCAGAAGAGGGAAAGAAAAAGGGGAGGAGGGATAGGGAAGGGGAGGGGTTGGGGGTAATTTGGGTTGGTTTGGGGAAGGGACGACAGGTTAAATTTCCCCAGACCCAAAAGCCCCTTCACCACACCCAAGGGGCTTCCTTGAAGAGGTTTTAAAAATTTCAATTCCCTATACTCCCCAATTTTAATCCAATTTTTTTTATCTAAATCACTGATATTCATACCTTACCCTTTTTTAGTTCACTTTAAAAATTTTACCTTTTAAAACCAATTTGTCACTAACTGTATGGTATTAAAAACCCAAACTTTTTCCAGTAGTGTCCCAAAAGTTCCCAAAATTTCAATAACCCACGATAGCAACCCAGGTATTAGTGAAAATGGGGAGATTTTGGGGGGTATAAAAACCCTAGGGGCATTAAACCAGAAACTAAAACCACAATTTTTAATAGTGCTCTGTGCCCTACTTTTTACCTAGTAAACTTGTCTGAACTATATTAGAAAATGGTAAATGAACAGAAAAAAAAATTTGTGGACCAACAATCGGAGGGAGTGTTCTGAAAGCTTGTCAGCCTTCCTATGACCACCCAAAGGCTCCCCAAAAGCAATTTTCCCTTGAGTGGAGAAACTCAGTATACCCCTGGGAGCATACTGGAATAGGTCTACAGTGGTCCATTTGTCGAAGGGCCCCAAATTTTAAAAGGGTAAAAAAAATTCTCAAAGTGAAATTTGGGGTTTTGACAATCAAAGGGGACAGGTGAAAAAATTTCAGTTCAGGAAGGTACTCCCCCTTTAAGAAAAATGCTAAAACTTTTTTTTGCATTTTTATTACAAAAATGATACTTTCCAAAAAATATCCATAAAAAATGGAGGGCAGAATACAAATTTGGCAGGGCATGAGAAGTGACTTTTGGGTTTGATAAACTCGTTAAATTTTTCCCCTACATTTGTTGGAGACTAGGTAAATGGCAAAAAATTTTTGTTAAATTTTTAACTAAAAAAATCAAACCAAGGGGCATGATAAATGAAAATTTTCCCCACCTCAAAAATTTGACGACACTTAAAAGAACAAATACTCTGAACAGAACTAGCCCCTATTCAACTAGCTTTTTACCCAAACCCCGGTTTCAAACTCATCATGATTTCTTCCACCTCTCCTGCATCTTTCCCCTCTTCATCAAACAAGCTCCCCGCATCTTCCGGGCCCTTAAATTCTGGTCTTTTCCCCTGGTCATCCAAAGGTATTCCCCGTGATTGGCCTCATTTCCCCACAGACTTTGAAAAAAAAACTGTATCCTTCAGCATGTCCAGATCTTTGCGTAGCTGGAATAAAATTCAGTATTGAAGATAATTTTGTGAATGCTCAGAATGGGCATTATTTTGGAACCGGTAAAACATTAAAAAAAAGTTACAAAAAACTGTAAAAAACCCCTTAATAAAAGGTTTAAGGGATGAAAAAATTCCATTCAAGCTTTTTTTAAAAAGAATTACCCGTATGATACATCATTGTGCTATGTTCTTTGCTGTAGCATTGCTGGATCATCTTCAATACGTTTTAAGAGTTCCTTAATCAGTGGGTGACGGGATTTACCTCTAACGTCTTCTTTTGGCTAAGATAATAACTGAAAGAAAATGTTGATAATCAATGTGCATGAAATGTCAAATTGGAATGGTTATATTTGGCACAAAATCTTATGCACTAACCCTTATGGGCCAATGCTGTTAACCCAAGATTTACAGAATTGGACAAGCTAAACCATTCTTGCATTATGAACAAACTTTGGAATTCAATAACCTGTCCAGAACAATGTACATAAATCACATCTAAAACTTTCATGTCAAACAGTTCAGGTATACATTTATGAAAGTTTATATCCAAAAGTTACCCAAGAGAAAATTAGGTCAAATTAGTAGAAATTTTGCACTAATTTCACTGTGGTTAAGGAAAATAGACAGTTAAGCAAAATAAGGTATTCAACAAGTTTGTATATTGCTAACCAAAATATGGTTTTTTGAGTCCCGTAACTAGTTATGCAATACTAACAGTGTTACAGGAAGTAAAATTTATCCTTTACTTAATGGGTTCAAAGTTTCTGCCTTAATACTGTTTAGGTTCTTAAATGGGAGCCTCTTCTTTTATCAAACCCAACTGCCCTCGTTCTACAGTGTTTTTTACGGTCCTTTTGGGGTGGTACTTGCCATGATTTTCAAAGGTTTGGTTAGTCATACTGCATATTCCAATTCAGGCTTAATACTGTGAAAAGATATTATACTAAAGTCAAATTTTTGAAAATGCAGTAGTGGGGAGCCCCTTAAATGCATAGACAACTAGAAGAGGTCCGAAGTGCTACAAAATGATTACCAGAATCTAAAGCTTTATGATGGGCTTTAAGCAATATGCCATGCTGGCTGATAAAGGGGACATTTGGAATTTCATATTAAACAGACCAATTAATTACTTACTCCCTCTGGACATCACTGCTTTTGGCGTGTGTTTGAGATGTCACAATACGTTGCATGTTTGCTGTCCAACCGAATTTTGATGAAACTAATGCACACGGTGACTCCGTCAGCCTCTCGCCAACTTCTGCTTTCACAATCTAGACGAAAAATGTCAAATATGCAACTTACCTTAGGTTTCCATCACATGGTTTAAACAACTGGTTACCAGTCTTACCTTCATTTTTATAGCAATCCATACTTTTTTTACAAGCCTTAAAAAGGGTTAACCAAGATCCATGCAATACTACAGAAGAAAGCCACCACCCAGATAATGTGAACTTACTCCCTATGAGTATCATGAGTCTTCTGATGAGCATTAGATATAGCCAACCGCTCCATATTTCCTGTCCAGCCAAACATGCTTGCCACTAGAGCACATGGAGAGTCAGAGAGGCGCTCTGAGATTATAGCCTTTGAAACCTGAATGAAGATTTAGATTTGAAATGTTAGGCACAAGTATTTATGCTTTCACTGAATACTGAAAACTATCGTGAAATTTTGTTCAAGAATGTTAATAGCATTAATGAAAGCACAAAAATTTCAATAGTAACTTTAAGTCAATTTCTATAAGCTACCAAAATTTAAGACCTAATTTAATTCAATTTTTAATAACTAAAACTGACCTCTTGAGAAGCACCACTTTTCAGTTCATGCAATAGTTACATTTTTAACTATTTAAAATAAGAAAGGAACCCTTGGCATGATAAAAGAGGGAATTAAAACAAGTTGGGTGGAATTTACCAAGCTCTGATATAGCTCATTCAGCACTACATTAACCTAAAAAGCAAATGGCACATCCATTCACAACGTATCACCAGGTTCAAAACTTCAGCCACATATGAGCACTTCATTAAAGCTAATCATTGCAAGCACATTGTAAGTTAAAATACAGTGCTGAGTAATTTGAAATATACTAGACCAATGTTTAAAAATAATGGGTGCTGGGAAAGAAAGGAATCTTCTACTGGGAGAATAGGAGGCATTTTTGGTTAGTGCCAAAGGAAAAGCCATGTCCAATTCCTTGACTAATCATTCACTGGCATCAATGAATTTGCCTTGAGGGGCAAGTGCTAGACAAGTTAGATTTAGAGAGATCAACCCCTTTCAACAAGGATAGCAAGAGTGCAGCTAGCAAGTGGCGACTAATTCAGACTACTTTCTACCTGCCCAAACACTAACTCGTTTGACCAAACAACGAAAAAATATTGGCCTTACATTTAAGTGAAATTAAAGATGGAGAGGGAGCAGCTTTAAAAATGTTTATCTTCAATTCTACTGGGAGAGATCAAGGACAAATTAAAATTCATACAATCTCATTATAGAAGACCAAAGGCACAATTAAGTACAATACAGTGACTAGAACAAACCTGCACACTAAAAGTGTATGACTTACCAACTTGGACCATTTATAAGTAACAAGAGCCAGTATATATAGGCAAGAGGGACAGGACCAAGAGGAAGAAAAAGTGGTAAGGCTAGTAGTGGAAATGAGGTCAGTCCTAGGACAAGAAAATGGAGCACTGCAGAAGACCTAAGGGCCACATGGGGCAAGACCAAAAATCAGGAAAAAATAATGACAACACTTAGGCAGAAAAAGCAAAGGAAAAATTATGAAGGTAGGGAGAGAAAGGATCAGGTCCAGCTGTGAGTGTTCTAAAGTTTGGAGTATTTGACTAATGGAAAAAGTAAGGCATCCACAAAGAATGCCAGTGCTCCCCATGTGCAGGTTGTGTACAGAAAGCATCTACCAAGTAAGCTATAAAGGGGAAAACCAAATTAGGCCACAAACTGGAATAAAGAATTAAATAGGCCAAGATACTGTACAAAACATGCCCTGCAGAAGTTAACATTACAAAGCACTAACAGTTTTGAGATTATAAGCCTTTGAGCAAGTTTAACCCAGGAAACTTTCCAAACAATATCTAAATTAACACTAGGACATTTTGAAAAATGGGCATGGCAAAATTTGTAAATAGTAAACTAAGTGAAATCAAAAAGCCTGATGTACAAGCAGAACTTTTCTTGCTAAGACTAAACCCAGCCGAGTGGGCAAATTTTATTAAGCTGAATTTGCTGCTCCTTTATCGGCCAACTTATTCATGCAGAGTAAATGTTAAAATTAAATTTTACTGAAGACAGGACACCAAGAACAGCAATGCTCCTGAAGCCAAGGACTGCCAGCTACAAGAGCAAAATTCACTAAGGAGTGGTTTGGTATGTTCTGTCTTAGCTGACAAACTTAAGGCCAGTCTCCAAGAAGTATGCTGGCCCTATCACTAGAATGCCTCTTTGGACCCACTATCACTGCCATACTCTGCAGTTTGCCTCTGCATGTACCACAACTTCAGTCTGCCCTGATACCAGATTTTGGGAAGCACTGGTACAATGTTCCTCCCAAATCATCCATGTTAACAGGATTTAAAGGGAAAAGTGAGGGAAACCAAGTTGCATGGGCACCCAAATGTAGAGAATGAATACCACTTTAAACTTCCAGAGTAAAAATTTATTAACCACCCTCAGCTACCTAGTATTTTTTATTATCACACTGGCCGATTCCCACCAAGGCAGGGTGGCCCGAAAAAGAAAAACTTTCACCATCATTCACTCCATCACTGTCTTGCCAGAAGGGTGCTTTACACTACAGTTTTTAAACTGCAACATTAACACCCCTCCTTCAGACTGCAGGCACTGTACTTCCCATCTCCAGGACTCAAGTCCGGCCTGCCGGTTTCCCTGAACCCCTTCATAAATGTTACTTTGCTCACACTCCAACAGCACGTCAAGTATTAAAAACCATTTGTCTCCATTCACTCCCATCAAACATGCTCACGCATGCCTGCTGGAAGTCCAAGCCCCTTGAACACAAAACCTCCTTTACCCCCTCCCTCCAACCTTCCTAGGCCGACCCCTACCCCGCCTTCCTTCCACTACAGACACACTCGAAGTCATTTGTTTCGCTCCATTCTCTCTACATGTCCGAACCACCTCAACAACCCTTCCTCAGCCCTCTGGGCAACAGTTTTGGTAATCCCGCACCTCCTCCTAACTTCCAAACTACGAATTCTCTGCATTATATTCACACCACACATTGCCCTCAGACATGACATCTCCGCTGCCTCCAGCCTTCTCCTCGCCGCAACATTCATCACCCATGCTTCACACCCATATAAGAGCGTTGGTAAAACTATACTCTCATACATTCCCCTCTTTGCCTCCAAGGACAAAGTTCTTTGTCTCCACAGACTCCCAAGTGCACCACTCGCCCTTTTCCCCTCATCAATTCTATGATTCACCTCATCTTTCATAGACCCATCCGCTGACACGTCCACTCCCAAATATCTGAATACATTCACCTCTTCCATACTCTCTCCCTCCAATCTGATATCCAATCTTTCATCACCCAATCTTTTTATCCTCATAACCTTACTCTTTCCTGTATTCACTTTTAATTTTCTTTTTACATACCCTACCAAATTCATCCACCAACCTCTGCAACTTCTCTTCAGAATCACCCAAGAGCACAGTGTCATCAGCAAAGAGCATCTGTGACAACTCCCACTATGTGGGATTCTTTACCTTTTAACTCCACGCCTCTTGCCAAGACCCTCGCATTTACTTCTCTTACAACCCCATCTATAAATATATTAAACAACCATGGTGACATCACACATCATTGTCGAAGGCCTACTTTTCCTGGGAAATAATTACCCTCTTTCCTACATACACTAACTTGAGCCTCACTATCCTCTTAAAAATTCTCCACTGCTTTCAGTAACCTACCTCCTACACCATACACCTGCAACATCTGCCACATTGCCCCCCTATCCACCCTGTCATATGCCTTTTCCAAATCCATAAATGCCACAAAGACCTTTAGCCTCATCTAAACACTGTTCACTTGTGTGTTTCACTGTAAACACCTGGTCCACACACCCCCTACTTTTCATAAAGCCTCCTTGTTCATCTGCTATCCTATTCTCCATCTTACTCTTAATTCTTTCAATAATAACTACCATACACTTTACCAGGTATACTCAAACTTACCCCCCTATAATTTTTGCACTCTTATCGCTTTGCCTTTATACAAAGGAACTATGCATGCTCTCTGCCAATCCCTAGGTACCTTACCCTCTTCCATATATTTATTAAATAATTGCACCAACCACTCCAAAACTATTTCCCCACCTGCTTTTAACATTTCTATCTTTATCCCATCAATCCCGGCTGCCTTACCCCCTTTCATTTTACCTACTGCCTCACGAACTTCCCCCACTCACAACTGGCTCTTCCTCACTCCTACAAGATGTTATTCCTCCTTGCCCTATACACGAAATCACAGCTTCCCTATCAACATTTAACAATTCCTCAAAATATTCCCTCCATCTTCCCAGTACCTCTAACTCTCCATTTAATAACTCTCCTCTATTTTTAACTGACAAATCCATTTGTTCTCTAGGCTTCCTTAACTTGTTAATCTCACTCCAAAACTATTTTCAACAAAATTTGTTGATAACATCCCTTCCCACTCATTTGCTCCCTCTACATTGCTTCACCACTCTCTCAACCCCCTCTCTTTCTCCATATACTCTTCCCTCCTTGCATCACTTTTGTAAAAACTTCTCATATGCTAACTTTTTCTCCCTTACTACTCTTTACATCATTCCACCAATCGCTCCTCTTCCCTCCTGCACCCACCTTCCTGTAACCACAAACTTCTGCTGAACACCAACACTACATTTTTAAACCTACCCCATACCTCTTCGACCCCATTGCGTATGCTCTCATTAGCCCATCTATCCTCCAATAGCTGTTTATATCTTACCCTAACTCCTCTTAGTTTATAAACCTTCACCTCTTCCCTGATGCTTCTATTCTTGTATCCCATCTACCTTTTACTCTTTACTCTCAGTGTAGCTACAACAAGAAAGTGATCTGATATATCTGTGGTCCCTCTATAAACGTACACCCTGAAATCTACTCAACAGTCTTATC